AAGTAGACAATTTTGGTTCCTCCTCAGAGATCCTTAGAGGTTCTATATCTTCACTCTGACTAGTAATACTTTGTAAACTTGTAGGGTCAGAACTGCACTCTGAAGCAGCAACTCTATTCTGTGACACTCTATTCAACAATGGCTTACCAGTTGCAACTACAGACTTCTTGACCACACCGTTATCGTCACACAATTCGGAGTCAGGCCTGGAGTTTACATTTAGCTTATCACTGAACTTGCTCACTGGTTCACAGTTCACCTTTGTACGCACTTCTTGCAAACGTGTAAAACACGACCGTGTTTGTCTTGCATCTTGTAACTTATCTGTTGAGGATGTACTACGAAAGCTGTTACACTCACTAGATCTATATGCATTACTAGACATCATGGAGCCTTCTCGATATCCACCTCTCTGAGGCCCTTTCGTCATCAATGATTGCGTTTTACCCTCAGACTGCTCTATTCTAGGGGTGAGATTCAATATACTGGCAAACTTGCTCATAGATTGATTGACACTATCTTTTACTAGTTTCAGGATATCATCAAATTTTGGCTCGATATCCTCATCCTCCATACGGGAGCTTATCTTCACCCACTTCCTTTGCAGTCGAGTAGGTAGGCGTCTCGCAATTACTTCTAGGACTGAGCTGGAGTTGAGGTCACTCATGCAATTCATCGAAATCAAGGTATTCTTATAAGTCATAAGATTATCTAAAAACTCAGTAAGTGCCTTGGAGTCATCTTGTAGTTGACTGCCGTTACCTTTGACAGCTTCGTATACGTTCCTTACAATCATCGAAGGTCTTCCAAACCTTTGACGTAATATGCTCATAGCCTCAGCGTATCCCTCATTAGGGGGCATGAGCTTACAGCACTGTATAGCTCTTGAAGCATCTCCAGTGCAATACCCCATCAAATACATTAACTTCAATTCATCACTTAATAGAAAAGTACTCAACATGATCTCAAACTCCTTTACAAACTGTAAATAATCGACCGGGTTTCCATCAAAACACCGTGGTTCAAACTTAGGGAGTTTGATGTTCCTATTATCCCTGAACGGCGAAACAGTAACATCAACCATGTCATGCTTAACATCAGACACATCGTTACAATTAACAGACAAGTCACCATGACTTACTTTCCTGTTTGCATCCAAGACACTCTGTCCCTTCTTTGACCCAGGCATTGTTGAACTTGACCCAATTCCAAAACAGTTCCAGATATTGCTTGTTCAAAGAGGACTTGACCGGCACCAGGAAAAATGAACGGCGACTATCCAAACTTTCACCAACTGTTTGAATTCACCAGATCTGTTTCTATCGTCAGAAACTGTCAGCCACGTCTCATAAACCGTTAATGCCCAGCTCTTGCTACGCTCGGGCCCACGCTGTTCCTTGAAGTTTTCTCAGAAACGCTTAGTTATAACGGACGAAAAAACCAAAACACCGATCTGACGCTTGAGATTTCTTTATTGTTACACCAACATATAAAAATAATAACTGAACTAAGCAAACTAAGGTCTGTGAACAAATATTACAATAATAAATCATTGTATTACTTCTGACGATGTTTCACTCTTCTTTCTGAACAGCGACCGATGAGACGATGACTGTCGTATTGATGCCTCCGCGAAAATTGGGGAAGTTGATTTTGAGCAAACAACCATGAATTGATCGTTCAATCTCCAACTCCATTGACATTGGCCATGAATGTTTACCTAACGTAACATTGAGGCGTAATTATAGTCTGTTTTTAGTCTGTCTGTTGGTTTTATCTGCTTTAGCTCACGTGTACTAGGTGATAGGCGCCTATATTTAAACCGTCAATAGCTTCTGTATTGTTATGCACTTGTTGACATATTGGTAAACATCTACTACCCCTGTTGTGGTTTCTTCCATTACCCGTTGTCCTCGTGACCCAACAAGTTTTGCCACTTATCATAAAGCAAATAATTTAGGCGGAATATAAAATTTTGGGTCTGTCAGGCGCGAAACATAAATCATGCATGTAATTCTGAATTAACAGTGTCATTCTGTCTGTCAGAGTGTGATCGTTTATTGAGTATTCACCCTCTGTTTCTTCCTTCGGCCCACCACGATTTGAAGATCACCGGAAGCCGAAGTAGGCAGCCTCGTCTAACACCTGTTTGCACCTCGGGGGGTTCTCTTGGCTGCTGATATAAACCATCTGGTACCTGGCATCATCATCGCATGGCAATCGTTTAATGCTGATAAAGGTTTGGGACAGTGCATTCAGTTGCGTTGAAAAAGCTTTCAAGTTATGTTACAGTCAGTATTACTGAAGGCGTTCGAGAAGTCACTGAAGACGGATTGAAGAGTAGAGTGCCATTCTGTAGTGCCTGCGAGAGTAGTAATTATGGGCAGCGTTGCATTTTGATGAGCACGTTATTTGCCTCCCCGAATTCAACTTTTGGGATACAGTTTATATCCTGAGCATTATTTGGTTGAAGAAGCTTAATATTTTTGTTTGTCATGGACAGGATCTTTATTCGTCGCCAGTTCTTATGGAGTCCTTAGTCACCTTCTTTGACACTTTTACAGATAACATTTCTCCTAATCCTTGTGCACGTTTCCATTCATTCAAACACTCCGTATTGTTGACGCGAGCTCATCTGCTGAGTTCTCTAGATCTGTTTTCAGGGTTTCGGGGGGAATTCTGTGTGATTCTGGTGACCTCATCGCATTCAAGAGTTCCGTTTAAATCAAATGGTTGCTGTTCATGCACGATTCTTTGGCTTCTTTTCAGGCTATAGTCGACTAAGGTGACGTCTATAGCGATCAATCTACTGTTTCCTATGCCTCTCCTATTTGCTAATTAGGTTTCCTCCACTATCTTTCATCATTTTTATCCGTGCTGATGTCTTCCAGGAAAGGGTCCAGTCCTGAGTAGTTTATTACTTGCTACCTCTTCAGCATCAGCTCGAAAAGTGCTGTGAAAGCTTCTTCTGTGTTTCTTGAAGTTAATTCTCCTTATACTGTCTTTGTTGGTCTTTGAGCTAGCCTGCCTTCCGCTACTCGATCCCTAAGTTAATATAATGAACGCCCTTCGAAACAAATTGCTTTCGAGGGAAATGTTTCGTGAATAAAATTATCTTGACCGTTCTGCTTTATCCAGACGACTGGCTATGGAAATTTTCTGTTCACAAAACTATGATGACTGTTCAGTTCATTTTTAACTTCTAAATGTCATGATATCGGCTACGTCGCAATTATACATGTCATTGACATCGATTTGGGTGGTGATTACTAAAACAAGCGACACAAGTGAATTCACCCAAAGTGACCTGAGGGTGCTGAGTCAGAGCAAACCAGGATATTTTGTTGGATATGGTGTATCTTGGAAGTAAGAAAATTATGGGGGTTTTCTGGTTTGAATCATCAGATAATAAATATTACTTACTTAAGGAAGCCTTTGTATTAATCCAAATGGCTAACATGGTGATTAAAGGCCTAGAGTCACTAGCTAGCATGTAAAGTTATGATATTGAAGGAGAGTGAGCAATTAGTTTCAAGCTCTTTTTGTGGTCAGATACACTCCTAAATAGGATTAACTGATAATAAACTTAATTCCAACACTGCTGTGTATCAAGGTTACTAGTGTCTGATCATACCTGCAATACTTTTCATCAGGAGTATTGCAGGGCTCTTTCCTAAGATCACTGATATTTTTTATGTTTATCAATGACCAATCATACCGTCTAAGCTGCCGACTCTTCTGTACGCTGACAAGGTGAAGATTTGGAGAGCATTAAAATGCTCAAAAGCCTCCGACAGATTGCAGGTAGACCTAAAATTTCTTGAAGACTGGGCAGTGGCCAATCGTATGACTCCTAAAGTGAAAAAGTGCAAAGTAGTGCAGTGACTTATATGTAGCCCGAAGAATGCAGTTAACAGCACGTGCAAAGAAAGTTTGTCCTGCGCGACGTCGAAGCATGAATTAGGTCTATTTCCGACGGAAAAATGAACACATGCATGAGTTACACTGGGGATGCAGTGAGGACATATGCGGTCATTCACTTCACACATAGACAGTTAGGTGCTTTCAGTTCTAAGCTCTTTCCAAGGTTTTACAAAAAATATATCAGGCTACATCTTGAATTGCACAATATTATTGCACCCCACTGTTTGAATGAGGCTCATTCCTTAGGGAAGAGTCCAAAGACAAGTAACAATAAGGGTGATGGGTCTCCTAAACAAACCGTATAATGAGTGGTTAGAGAAATTAGGTCTCTTCACCCTTAACTACCGTCGGCTTAGGGGGATAAAAAGCATAAAAGTGAGCATAATCACACGAACAAAGGTATTCTGCTGTTTAGAATGTGTGGGCCTCCTCATCGGAATCCACGAATGATAGCTCTCCAGAGGGTGAAGGCTGGAGTGCGCCTCCATTTCTTTTCACTGAGAGTTTGCTGTCCCTGGAGCTCTTCACCGGCAAGTGTAGCTAAGGCACCGTCCGTGAACGGCTTTAGGAGAAGGCTGAACAGTCATGCACTGACACTGTTATTATTGATATAAATATGCGTGTGTATATATATGTATTATATATGTATATATCAACTCCAAATTTCATTAGTTATCTGTTTTAACGTTTTCTTTCTTATCAGTCTACATAATCTATGCTAATTACACGTTATTTTTCTCCTCTTTTAGACAACACCAGAAGACTAACAGGTGAAAGAATCGGTTTCATTCACAGGTGCAACACGATCTTAACATACTGCATACTACAAGCCACCTAAAATTGGTCCCAGTACCTCTCCTTTTGGAGTCAACGAAACGGGACGAAATAAACAGAAGTTTACAGGAGAATAGGAACCTTTATCTAACAATCAAAAAGTTGGCTCAAAGAAATCAAAATGGTTTACATTAGCTCGTGAAAAATGATATTGGATTATCTTATCGTTCTACATTTCAAGGTCACTTTCCTGATACACTGATTCCACTTTTTGAAACGGGGGGATATCCCAGCGATTATTCATGTCGACGCCTGAAAACCGAAGGACTACTATAGCTCACCACGTTTCCATTCTGTCGAAACGTTTCGAGTTTGTACCTAATAAAAGCTGTTTTTGATTACTAGAGCGGATACATCGAATGTCACAGACATAATGAAGTTTGTAGACAAGCTCGAACAAAGTGTGGACAATTCACCTGAAACTGAGGTATTAATTTTTCAGTTATAGACATTGCTGCAGACTAAATCAAATGATGCATTTACAAATCTCTTCCAGGAAAGCCCTTTTTCCGGGGAATTTATTCAGGACTATGAAAACTTGGCGCATAAGAAGTCAGTGGAGCGTTTCTAATATTATATGATAAATCTAGTTGTAAGGAATTGCCGCAGATGGTAGAGCTGTTATCACTTTTGAGATCGGATTTTGAGACTTCGCAAGTTCTAGCGAATTTTGTAATACCCGGTAAAGACATCAGAAGAATTACTCCCGCTGATATAGTAGGTTGATTAGTATGTTTTGATAATTTTGATCATTGCATTATATGTGTGTACACTTTTTTAATGTACCTCCAGGAATCTCACATAATTGTATTCGTTATTTGGTTGCTATATCAAACTTTAGGTATCTAATATTTGTTGGGTAATAGGTTAGTTTTCACCTGATGCATTATATGTACAAAAATATTGTCATGATGTAAGCTAAAGCCTCCTGCCTTTAGTACAGATTTCTGCATAGTCTCAGAGATATCGTTTATTCATGGACTGGTGATGTGAATTGACTTCTCTGTTTGTTTGAGAAAGTCCACTGAGGGTTACTTCCATTCAAACACGTGTTTTATCTAGCTTTATCCCTCTATCTTTCACCAGTTATTTACTTATTGTCTTCTCACTTATTCCACCTAAAGTAATCCAATGAAAAGGGTGTTTTCTACACATATTTTTACGTTAGTTACCTGTTTGTACTGGTAACAGCTACTCAAGACGTTTATATATTTTCATGGCATTGTTGTATGCTTTATTTAAAATACCTTTTAGTGTATATATCATCTCAAACTTTGTTTTCAATACAATTTTTAGCCAATTAGCCCGCTTTTAAAACAGCTTCACGACAATCTCCTGATACCGTTATATGAGGGACAGCTCAACCTAAGTAATGCTGATGAAAATCATGTACTTGCGTCAGTTTTTTCATCACTCAGTACAAGCACGCCTATTTGTCGGCCTAGTACTAAGAAATCAAAGGATATTTCTGAAACAAAACCCCCTCACAATTCAACTGTGGAACCAAAATGGTGGCACTCTAACGCAACACTTTCGGGAGACTTCTTGCCGATTTCTGTTTTAACTGTAAGTTTCAAAAAGTTCGTAAGCATATTATACCTTATTTCGTTTTTGTTTTCTGAGACAGACACCATCTATGAAGCAGTATCTCTTCAAATCAGAATGCCGTATTAATTTTAATCAGCACTAAATATTTGTATTTCATTAGAGTTCATAAGGTATCAGCTTCCAATCTCTAAGTGAGTTTGGCCTGTCAAACAACGGATAAGTCATTTATAGCGTAGAGGCAAATTGTTAATTTTCGCTTGCTATGAATGCACCTTTGGCTTATGTAATCAGTGAAATGTGTCAATCAACATGCTCATATTGAGCAACAAAGTAGTATCATTAACTCTCGAAGCATATGATTTACTTGTTTTTTTTCTTCTTCTAAGACAATTTTAAGTGTATTTGATGATATTTTTTGCATCTTTGTTTCACAGCCCTGGAAAAAGGCAAATGCATTTTGATATTAATTGTTACTCTTATGTATCAGTTTAGTTTGATGTATACAAAGCGCAATAAATCTGCCATTCTTTCATGTCTTACCATGGTGCAGTTGACGTTTATGCAAAAGATTAATTCCATTTTTTTATCAGTAAAGAGTTGAAAACCCCAAGGAAATAATGCGACTCTATTTTTAGCTCTTTTTCATTGATTATGAAAGTAAACAACTGCGGAACATCCTGAACATTTTATTTCGATTACAGAAAATTCTCTGTGTGTTGGTAGATGTCACATCAATAACCATATGAAATAATATAGGTACCTCTTTCATATTATTGTACGGCATTGTAACTAAGAGTCGTGAACAGTGTTGTATTCATGAATAGTAAACATATATAATACATTCTAAAATTCTCATTAGTAATTTTAGAAAACTGCATTACTTTTTTGTCAAACTATAAACTTCTTTATTTCTTCTTCAAGCCTTCCCAGCCACTTCCAATCGAATCCCTTTCAATCACTATTCAGGAATATGTTATTGTCAGTGATCTCATTCAGTGCCTACAGGTGGGTTGCACTCTTAAGTGTCAAGTAAATCCACCCTTCGAGCTGTTTTCTAGCTATACTTCTAGTGTATTCGTCACATTGTTAAGGGGTATACAGATTATTTTGTCGATTTGTTTTTAATTTCTAGGGTAACCAAGGAATATATATTAAACCCCTTCCACTGCAAAATCGGGACTCAATTCGAGCGTTCACAGTAGATGATAAAATAAGTAAGTTTATTTCATGCTAACATTATTAATGACATATCAAGGGGCTGAAAATAATCTTATTTAACGAATTCTCAATGTTTCCGTTGAGCTGTTGTGTTCTCACGCTGATGTACCTAACATCCTGTTACCTGCTTGGTGTCATATTTATCTTAGAATTGGTTGTTACATATTAAAGGTTACTTAGAAAACTACATAGCTGCTTTTTATGAAATATTGTGTTGTGACCGTAAGTAATCTAGGGAAATAGTGTAGTCACAGACCCTGTACCTAATATAGGGTGAAAGTTTTCATTTAACCCTTTCTATCTTAGTAAAACATCAAAAGCACGATTAAAGTTGGAATCCGTTGTGTAACATAAAATCGCGCTGCTAATCAGTATTCACTCACAGGTTTCCAGGAAACAAGTCACATTTTTATGTGATTTTTTATATAAGGTTTATTGTTGTGACGTAGCTTTTAAATGTTTGAAACTCAGCAATTCAGTCATTAATCACATTATACTAACCTGAAAGTGACTAGTGGGGCATTGACATAGAATATACTACAATTGCATACTTTATTTTTAGTAATTAAAAATGTAAAGAATGCATTACAGAGTCAGCTTTCCTAGAAATACACTGCAAACAATTCTGGAAATAAGCAAGGAAGTTAGTAGAGGATAGTAATTAGTAACGGAAAGTGAAAACACAGGTATTGGAAATGTGATTACGTCACCTAAATTATCTAAACCAAGTGTACTCGGTGTGTATCGTAATGCGGGATGAGATTGTAGCTTAATTAGAGGTTAACAGCGACTGGATGGCAGCGAATGAGTTATAAGAAATCGTTTCCTTTAGCTCTGCGCTGAAGTTCGGTCTAATTCCAATTACCGACAATCACCATTGTGCCACCAAGCGTCTTAAAGCTTTTTATATTCTATCACTTTATCATTCGAAGTCGTAAGTCACTTCATGGATTTGTCTAGTCGTTTCTACGCTCCGTTATTATAATGATTATAGGTGCTTTCATATGAATTTGTTCATTCGATATATCACACAGTATAATAATAATGCTTTACTTTATTCCAAAAACATTACTTGTGATACAGAATGGAATTTTCAGCATTAATCACAATATTGCATCTAATTTATAAAGTTATATTAATAAAATCTTAGCAAAATTGAAATGATTAATTCCAACGTTTCGTTCGGCAATCTGGTCCGAACTTCTTCAGGGAAATTAATCGAAATTAACATAACAAAGGTTTATATATAAAAGGGACACCTCTTTTTTTAAAATCTTGTCCAGTCATGAGCCAAAATTTTTTGATTATAGTTCATACAGTTTCTGTTTTGTTTAGTATACCTATTGATAGCTGTTTCTTGGTTCATATTTAAAAACAAGAGATGTACTTTTATGTATAAACATACAATTCTATTTATTTATTTATTATAGATATGGATACCTGTTGCATGGCTCATGATTGGACAAAATTTTAAAAACAAGAGGTGTTCCTTTCATATATAAACCTTTGTTATGTTAATTTCGATTAATTTCCCTGAAGAAGTTCGGACCAGATTGCCGAACGAAACGTTGGAATTAATCATTTCAATTTTGCTGAGATTTTACAAATATAACTTTATAAAATGTCTACTTCTCACTCAGCGCTCACTTATTTTGCAACTATCCGGCCAAATCTTCATCACAGTTCATATGAATTATTTTGCATCTAATTTCCTCAAATTATAAATAAAAATTAATCACACAGAAAATTCCCCACATTTACAATAGAGGTAGTGTCAAAAACATGCAGCATATAAAGTGGAAATAATAATAATAATGATAACAGGTAGGGTAATAATAATACAAGTGAAAATTGCCATGGGCTTGTTTCACACAGTATTGACAATGTGGTACAGAAATCCTAACATGTTTAAAAATATTGAATATAATGTTCTCTTTACATGATATGGTGAAGGGAAAAACAGAGATTACAGCAGTCATAGAGATAAGTTGGTGTTTGCAATTATGAGAGTAAAACAAAGAAGCAACAGGACCGTAAATATGATAGAAATAATAAAAGTAAAACTTGAAGGTATATAAAGATGGATGGAGGAAATTGTTTATATATTAGATGAAAAAAAGGTTCACTGAATGACTTTTTGAACACATAATGATATCAATTATAGCTACACAACTTCTAAACTTGATTTTTTTAGTTCTCTTTCTCTCTTCCAATTCGCTGTAGTGGTAGTAAAATCTCCCAGAATACGTGTAGTTGGAATAATTCAACTAACACCTGTCCTGGATATCTGGGAAATTCTACTACCCCTATGATAAATTAGAAGGAAGAAAGGGAACTACAGAAATCATGTCTCGAAGTTGGCCTACAGTTACAATTTATATGATTACGAACAGTGAACTGTGTTCGAAGTCACTCATTAAATAATAGTGTTTCAATGTGTAAATATATCCAATAAGTAAATTGATATGAAACTACGTATTACTACATTGCCCAAGTTTCTTACACATTAATTAATTTATGCTCTTTTGTTTTTCTGACTTACTAACGTATCCAAGTCGTTGATTCGGAAATGTAATTGTGCATCTTTTCATTTCAGCTCCCACTCTATTAGATACTGTGAGTAAAATTCTTCAGGTATGCTCGGATTACTCAACCATAACTAGATTTGTATATGGTAAGTGCAGACATCACTCTTATTGTTTTTATTTTTCAAAAGAGGTAACAATTCTTCTAAAATTTTTTGATGAATGACTAGTGTTCTTTAGAATTTGGTGGTAGTATATACACACCACTGCCGTTTATTATAAGAGATATCATTATGTTTGCACTTATGTCACATTTTAAAATTTATAATGCATATATACCCCTTATGAAGTGTTTTAAGTAAATTTTTACTTTTACTAAAGATAATTCAGCTTTGGAGCGTGGATTGGTTAATCATTCATTAGCTGGTGCAATGCGTTTTTTTCTTCTTCATGATCATACCATTCTGGTATGCACATTAGAATATTTTCATAAAAGAAATGAATTGGGAATTGTAAAACTTTATTTCTATCTTCACGTAAGTAAATTATGTTGAAATTCATTAAATCTCTTGAAAATGTCCATTTTAAGTGTGACACATTATATTCTTTGCTTTCATATTGATTTTTGTTTTGTTTACAGTGCATTGAATTTATTTGGCCTCACGAAATAACTCTCGTGTTACTAAAAGTGATTAGTTTAATGGTTTCAAACTTCGGTTCTTTTTCTCTTTATTGAATACTTAGACTGAATAACTATAGTTGTATTGTAACCTGTCACCAATGCTTTGAACTACCCTGTATTACAGTAGGAAACGTTAGATATATTCATTATAGGATCTTTAAAAATAATGTTTCTAATCTGATATTGTTCATTCCCATTCAATCGGGAAGACTTTCTCGGATGCAGTAAGATTTTTTAAATTTCAGTAGTGTGTGCATGTTTTGCGTAAGCCTGTTACAAGGATATTCATTTTTATTTCGACCTTCGATTCAGTACACTTTAATACTTATAAACATAAATGGTTAAAAAATAGATTGAATGAAATGTAAGATGTCCAAAAACTCAGTGAGATATGGTGCATTTACACTAAAGACGGTAACCCTATATCTGTCTGTCTGTTTTCGACATAGAACTTTGCGCAAATGTGCGGAAGTTCAAGTCGCCACACTCCGTGTATCACGCGAAGCAAGAGAAGAAAGTACAAGAAAAGCATAATAGAGACAATGAGCAGGGGTGTGAGACAAAGGGGTAATAACGAAGAACAAAACAGTTTCATTGGAGATCATAAATCACAAGGAGTGGATGCATCTGCGCCACTGAGAACGATTTTGAGCCATGTCACCAATTGTTTCCAACCAAAGATTTTTACCGTCCCGAGTCTGTCTGTCTGTTTTCGACATAGAACTTTGCACAAATGTGTCCGTCCCGAGGACCCCAGCCTGGAAGTCTACACCTTCCTACATGGCTTAGACCAACTGTTGTGGATTTCATTGACTGGTGCCAAGTTTTTGTTTGACCGCCGCTAGCTTTTTTCCAGCCTGACCCTATATCCGCTAACATTGCTCGTCGAGGGAGGCGATGGCTTGGCATACGTAACACATGTCCTAACCATCTCAGTCTTTGTAACTTCACGACTTCGTCGATTGATTTCCCCTGTTTACCTAGAACTCGACGCCTAACCTCAATGTTGCTCACCTTATTATGCCACTTTACACGGGAAATAGAGCGCAGGCACCTATGATCAAAGACAGCTAGTCTTTTCATGTCTTCCACTCTCAGTGGCCAGGTCTCACAACCATAAAGGAGGACGGAGCGGACTGATGAGCAGTACACCCGCCCTTTGGTCGATAGTCGAACATCTCGTCTACGCCAGAGTCGGCGTAAACTGGAAAATGCGAAACGAGCCCCCTGTATTCGTGCTGAGATTTCGTCAGAGATCAACCCGTTGGGGCTGATGGTACTTCCCAAATAAGTGAAGCGGTCAACGTGCTCTACCACTTCACTTCCTATTTTTAAACTAGGCGTCGATGTAGTCCAGTCCTGTAACATCATCTTGCATTTGGCGGGAGCGAATCGCATGCCAAACATTCGTAGATTGCGGCTCAAGGTGTTTAGAAGACTCTGCATTTCGTCAGCGTCTTCGCCTAGAAGGACTATATCGTCTGCATATTCCAAGTCAACGAGATTATTCCCTGGTAGCAAGTCAATCCCTGAGTCGCTGAAGTCACTTAGGGTTAAGTCCATTAACACATCTATGATGAAGTTGAATAGAAAAGGGGATAATGGGCATCCTTGACGGACACCACTGGTCGTCACCAGTTCAGATGACAGCTCGCCGTAAGCCCTCACCTGGCTGTATGAGTACGAGTAGAGTGCCTTAATCAGTGCAATATATTTTCTCGGAATTCCCTTTACAGCCAAGCATCTCCAGAGAACTTCTCGATCGACAGAGTCGAATGCTGCCTTTAGGTCAAGAAATATAATGACTGTTGGACGCCGGTAGGAATGCCTATGTTCTAGAATCTGTCGGAGGGTGAAGATATGATCAATACACCCTCTTCCTGGTCTAAAGCCTGCCTGGCTCTCTCGTGTTTGTGCCTCCCGAGCACCACTCAGTCTACGCATGATTATTGAGCCTAAGACTTTAGATACTATATTAGTCAAGCTAATCCCTCTGTGATTATCACAGGAAGACTTGTCTCCCTTCTTGTATATGGGGATAATCAGTGACTTACACCAACCCGATGGGACTTCTTCTGATTCCCAGACGCTGCCTAGTACCTCAGTTAATCCAAACAGTAAACTGTCTCCACCGTACTTAAATACCTCTGGAGTCATTCCATCAGGTCCCGCTGCTTTGCCTAGTTTCAGATTGGTGACAGCTTTAGTAACCTCAGTTAGTGTACGGAGGACCTGTGTCTATATCCCATTCAGGGAGGTGTTGGATGTTCGGAAGGTTGAGCGTGGCTGTGGGCCAATTAAACTGCTCCTCATAATGCTCTTTCCAACGATCCAGTCGTCTATCCTGGGAGCTAATTATAGTGCCATTTTTTCTCGAGATTGTTTCACTAATGATTTGTCTTCTCCCACCCGTTTCCCTGATGAGTCTAAATAGTTGCCTGGTGTTGCCTATCCTCGAAGCTTTCTCCATCTCTTTGGCTTTTGTCGCCCACCACTGTTCACGGTCCTTGCGGAGACTTTTCGTAAGTTTCCTCTTGTGCAGCTTTCGCTCCTCATTGAATTCGGAGCTCGCCGGAATAAGTCTTCTAGCATCCATCCCTATGAATGTTAATAGAATACTTATTTGATAGATCTTAGTACAAATATAAAAAATGCAATTACTGTCTTTTAATCTTCTATTAATTGTGAAGTTTGCATTATATCTTTATTTGGAAGTAGCTTATTGTACTATTTTTTCTGACTATGTAACAATGACGCACTGTTATTAATAGTTTATGAAACTGTGGCTTATTCATAGCTGAAAGTGTTTAGTAAAAAGAAAATGGAATTTTTTTGAAAATTGTATTTTTGGTCATCTACAAAATTGTATTTTCTCGCTTTGATTAAGGAAACAGCTATAATCTTTAATCATATCACTCGTCTTATTATGGATATTAATTCGACAAAGTGTTCTGGTGGTGCAGTATTATCAATATTGTGGGACTGTATGCAGTCGGTGCGTAATGTAAAACAGGTGTATAAAGTGATGCGTCGTCTCGTGTACTGTGTAAGTCTGAAAGTTGTGTACATTGATTTGACATTTTAGAAGTACATCAGTTGGTTATAAAAGTTAATTCTGCTTTTACCTTTTTGTGTCTTTTATTGTTTTTAAATAACAGTATCATGAAGTGATATATATATATATATATATATATATATATTTGAGACTTAAGTCCTCGTGATTTTCTTAAACCGTTATTTATTTAAAAGCGCTAGAGTACTTTGAACAGAAACTTCTTTGGCTGTATAAAGCTTTTTGAATATTTCACATTACTAGTTTGGACATATTTTCACAGAATCATGTCAGTAAATGTGATCGTTGAAAGTAAGTGACAAATAAAATCTCTAGATATATGGCCAACCTATTCTAGGTGGTACTATAAAGAATAAAGGACCAAACGCAATCTTTAATAGCATAAACGCATTGTAGGTACATTAATTTGGTACATCTAATCCTTAAAACTTTCTTTGCACTTCATTTGCAAATTGGTTTAATATCACCACATGCGATAGATTGTTGGATTCTCCACAGTGTTGTCACGTTCTTCTCACAGTTCTCTTCTTCGATCGCTTTTTCCAGTACCCGAAACGTATTGCTACTTTTCTGAATTCTTTTACACATATACTGCTTATACATGGTTACAAGTGGCACTCACCACACCCACCCCTTACTACGAAGTCTTTCCTGTGGTTTTCTCAACTGCAGCACTGAGGCTCCATCCCTCTGTTCTTCGGGTTTCTCGTCTTGATACCATTGTGTCCATCCTTGAGGCAGACTGGCATTTACTTTTTTCTTTATCCTCTCTCTTTATTGTGTAAACTGGATAACGTCTCTATGTGACCACATATGGTCCCTCTCACTCTGGGAGAAGTTTTCCAGATCCTGGTCCACCTCCAGTGGTATACTTTCGTTCTCTGCATTTCACCTGGTCGCCTACTTCAAACGGCTTCCAAGCTTTGATTTGTTTCTTGCCAGCCTTTCCGATGCCTGACTATTGCTTCTCTTGTATATTCTGAATATCCTGTTTCTGCTCACTTCCCCATCTCTTACTGTTCCAATGTTGTTGTTGTGGCCAAGTCTTATTGTAAGATCAATTCTATTCCCATCCTTGAATCGAGTCAACCTGGCCCGGATCAGCCTAGAGTTGTTGCAACCCAATTATCCATGCCTAATGTGTCTATCCCTGCTTGTTTAATGAACTGTGTGTATGTGTTTTTACCTCGATCCGTTTAGTCAGACGGTTGAACTCATGGCCCAATCAGAGTATTTTGTGAACTGTTATTTTTGCTGACCCATGTCTAACTTTGTACTATTCTGTCGAGTTTATCTTATTTATTGATTTTCATCTGTATTTTCCTACCTGGTTAAGTAGCCAATTAAATTCTATCTTTGTGCCTATGCTAGGTCTATCTCTCTTAAACGCTCTCTGTTTTATGCCATACCTTACTTGGGTTCATTCTTCTACTGACTGCTTACCTGAACGGTCGTGTCTGGTTCCGGCTAGTTCGCAATTTTGGCTTTAACGTTATTCCGCTCTGATAGCGGTACCTTGCTTTCTGTTAAGCGTTGTGCTTTGTACTCTTGAAACCGTTAAGGTTTGTTGTATATATAATTATTGATTTGTTTATTAGTAGTACCGTAGAAACAGTGACCGGCTTCTTGTTTGTTCTGGACCGGGATAGCCTTTATCTACGCGTGACTTAATTTCAAGCGATATTGCGCTTACACTTATGGTCCATCGGTAAGCGTGGTTTCTTCTCATATATCATCTGGAAGGGTGATTTTTGTGTTGTCCCCTGTATTGTGACACGATGCGCCAGTAATACCAACGGTAGGTCGGTTTCCCAGTTAACTCTGTTCGCAGCTAGCCTCCAAAGCCTCAGGATGGTCGGGGGTGGGTGCCTTGCGCTGCGGGTTGGCCACCCCTCCGCACACCTCTTGAAATGCTCCCATATGACCGGGCGTCTTATATAGCCTCTCCTGAGGAAGTCCTACTCACTGCCTTCACGTGGCGGAGGTGTTTCTCACCAAAGTGAGAGGGCGAAAGCGGATGCCCGGCGCTCTCCACCGGGTTGACTGTCCATTGGATGACGGTCTAGGGGAGATGGCTAAACCCTGATTCCAAACCTCCAACGACTGGCGTATGAAGCTCACTGGAGCTCACCGGCAGACGTATGGACAAAGGGCTTGTTGGATGTCCTAGATGTCTGGCCCCATTCAAAAAGGCGTATGAACCGAACTCCGGTCACCGGCTGCCAATGGATAGTGGACTCCTTACTCCACTCCTACTGCCTTGTAGGTCACACTTGGCTGTGTAAAGGCTAGAGCTGCACTCTCAAACAAAAGGCCGAGTGATTCTGGGGACATCACTCGTACCAAATTCCCATGAAACTTCATGAACTCTCTTACAAATTGCCGCGCCTGGGCAGCGATGATTCGAGACGTTCATGAAGCCGGCTCATCCTCCCGTAGGAGATAGCCGAAGTAAAGTAAAGTAAGTAAGCTAGCCACTCCTTGAGTGTACGATTATCCCTTCCTGTCAGGCCGTTTGTCTGAGGATGATACGGTGTCTGTCTAATTCTTTTAGTACCCAGTGCCTCCAGACGAGTCTTGAACTCCTCACTCTCAAAACAGGGACTTTGACCCCATCAATATCATCTTTGGTACACCGTGATCCGTCAAAATATGTCGATTTACTGCCTCGGTTACAGTCTTAGCGCGCTGATCTGGAATCGCCACGCGGTGAAAAACTAGCAACTACTCCCTCAAATCTTCATCCAAGGTACTTAAGGCGCGTCGCAGAAGACTTATAAGCGTTATGCGAGAAATTACAGATCCCCGTCTCGACTAAGCCTAAGAGTCTGGAACTTCTGTCTTCAAGATGCTCGTGTGTGAATTTGACAGCCCCAAAAATAGGCAAGGGGGACTGCATGGAGGATTTCACCATGAGCTGACATCAGTTAAAGAACCACTGGAAAACCTGGGAGTACTGGACAGTTGTTCGAAACAGCTGACAGATCATCACTGACCAACTGCATTCAAACAGCTGTTATTTTTGTCAAATATTGTTTTATTTTTGTTTTTGCTGATTCAGTAAGGGATTAACACTCTGTTTCTGTTTTGAAATTTTTTCCCCGACGATTTTATACAGAAGACATTGTTTTACATTACATATTTAGCCATTATCAGCTTTCTTTAGCCTTTCCATTTGAATTGTTTCATTATTATTATTTTTTGCAACACTAGGCTAGTGTACCGTTTTTCGGAATCCTTAAAAAATGGTTATATCGTGGAATAATTTCGGATCCATATAAGGAGGTCAGTTGGTTGATGAAGTTTTGCTTTCTTATATACATTGAATACAATGTGAACTCTTTAGTGTTAGTTATCTGTATGTTATAAGCCAAAAACTGATCTACACGTGAAGAAATCCTCTGTTGCTGTCTGGTCTGTCTGTCTGGATTCAACATAGAACTTGGCACCGAAGTGCAGCAGTTCGAGTTGCCACCTTCCAAATAGCACACAGAGGTAGACAAGAAGATGAGTGAAGAGAATCAATAGAGTTTGACAAGTATAAGAGTGAAACAGAATGGGTAATGGTAGAGAGGAATATGAAAGATTACAGAGATTGAATACATCTGCGCCATTGACAACGATTTTGAGCCATGTCACCTATAGTCTCCAGCCATTGATTCCTAGAGTCCCGAGGGCCCCAACCCGGGAGTCTGCATCTCCCTACCTGACTCAGTTTAACTGTCAAGGATTTCATGGATTGATGCCACGTTTTTGTTTGGCCACCACTGGCTCTTTTCCAACCTGAACCTATATCAGCTAACAATGCCCGTTGGGGGAGGCGGTGGTTAGGCATGCGCAGCACGTGACCTAGCCATCTTAGTCTATGTAACTTTATAACCTTGTCGATTGATTTTCCCTCTTTGCCCAACACTCTACGCCTAACGTCAACATTACTTATCTTGTGAAACCACCTAACGTGAGACAGAGATCGCAGACATCTATGATCGAAAGCAGTCAATCTTTTCATGTCTTCAACGCGTATTGGCCATGTTTCAGAGCCATAGAGAAGGACGGAGCGAACTGATGAGCAGTACACACGTCCCTTGGTTGATAACCGGATGTCACGCCTACGCCAGAGATGGTGTAAGTCAGCGAAAGCAGCTCGAGCTTTTCGGATCCGTGCTGAGATTTCATCGCCAATCAGTCCGTTGGTGCTAATACAACTTCCCAAGTAGGTGAAGTGGTCAACATGTTCTATCACTTCACTCCCTATCACTAAGTTAGGGGTTGACGTCGTCCAGTCCTGTAGCAGCATCTTACATTTTGCAGGGGCGAATCGCATGCCAAACATACGAAGATTGCTGCTCAAGGTGTTCAGAAGACTCTGCATTTTGTCAGCATCCTCCCCTAACAGGACTATGTCATCTGCATATTCTAAGTCCATTAGATTATTCCCTGGTAACAAGTCGATTCCTAAGTCACTACGTTCAGTTAAGGATACTTCCATTAGCATATCTATGATGAAGTTAAACAGAAATGGGGAAAGTGGACATCCCTGTCGGACACCACTGGTTGTTACCAATTCAGATGACAGTTCCCCATAAGCCCTTACACGACTACGTGAGTTTGAATAGAGTGCCTCTGTTGCTGTGGAAGGAAGTACATGAGATAGTTATATTGCATGGAAAAATCGGTAACATGCAGTCCTATAGACACTTGTTTAACAGGTAAAAGATGTTTGAGATTAGTGCTATACATTATAAGTAAATAGTTACTTTGAATTTAGCATCTGTTAGTAGAAACTGACATTGTGACCTGTCAACCAAATCTAACAATAGTAAAGGAGATATTGAGTCGAAAAAGCACAGGAAAAATATTGTGAAAGTATGTTCCTCAGAAGTTTGGTCAGTGCTATTATTTACATATTACACATGATTAGGGCATAAGTGATTGCTTTAAAAGCAGCACCCATTTACCTGCATAATCGGTAACAATAATGGTACTCGGTGTCTACAGTCAGGTTGACTGCAGAATTAGTATAAAATTCATTGTGACTACAAACATTTCTTAGTTGAAGCAGCATTGTCTGGGACACTCATCACATTATTGGATTCGGAAACGTTTATGATTTTTTTATCAGTATTTATTTAATATTATACCGAAATACGTTTCACAACGTTTCTTCTGCTCACTTTTGTATGTGATAGTTTAAAGTAATACATATTTATGCAAAGTTCTACTTTGATGATTCAGATCAGATCATTGATTCAATGATGATTTTGTGTAACTGATATGTATCCACATATATATATTTATGTGTGTGTGTGTGTGCATGTTGGTCTCTCTTTCTGTTTGCTCGGTTAGTCTGTGACCACTTCACTTGTATGGACTTGTCTCCTTTAATAATGTGTATTCTCCTTATATTATATTATATATAATATGAGTGTTTGTTGACAGTCCGTCGCTTGGTGACATATATCCATATATGTTTGTTGGCATGTCTGCTATATTCGCTATGTATAATTGGATCGAGATTCCATTATAATTAGCCATTCATGTTAAGACTGTCTAATGATTTTTCCCACGCTTGTCTGAATTATTATATATATTCGCATTCAAAATTTGTGTGAACTACTTTACTTTACAACTACTTGACTTGCTTACCACTTTGGTGTGAGACCATTTATTTTCGTCTCCTTGTGTTTGGACAATAGAAGTATCATCGCAAACCTAGTGGTCTTCTGATTTCCGCCTTCTCGCGTCAGGACTATTAGTTTCTCGACCAGTCCATAACAATAATTCAGCGACGAGTACATAACAGTAACATAAGGATTTCTATTCTGTGCTTAGCATTTCAAGTGCCAATGGAGTGTTGTAATCGTTTGTGCATCTTTTTTTGTTATTAACTACTACTTTGTAAGACATTGCTTTCTGAACTAACGAAAAAAATCTCTTCTACTAACTTCTCATCAAAACTGTACAGTCAATATAAGGGAGGGTAAGCAGAGTTCTATATGCATAATGGTAATTGCCAACTTGGGTCGGAGGTTATCGTCAGCTGAAAATGCAGTTAAATCAAAGTGTATGGAAAGTACCGTGTGAAAAATACAGAATCATCTTGTGTAATCAAGAAAGTGTGTAACTAATTAACTAGGTAATGAATAGTTACTTAGAGATAAGAGCATAAAAAATTGAAAAGGAATAAAAAGAAATTACATCGAATTAATTACGCAAAAAGTCAAGAAGACAATGTTGAGACTATGGTGGTAAGAAAGTTTGAATAGAAAATTTATGTACGCAAAGTTTGGGTTATTGCTTCGGCTGCATGAAGATGTAAACGAAATCCTTTTGACTGGTTCCATCTTACCTTATTTATGATGCTGATTAAAGTCTGCCGATGCTGCATGATTAGAAGAAGTAATAATGTATTATAGGATTGGGATTTAGTGGACTTTTCCTTGTTGAACAATCATAGTGGTTGGTGTGCATAAGCAAGTTCAAACAAAAAGCTGCTGGTACGGCCTATGTACTTAACTCAACAGAAGTAAATGAACTGATAAATACACATCAAAAGCTACCAAGAGTGAAATCTTGTCTTTGAGGTTTTGATGAACAAGAGCATATGTAGAGGTGAAGTATAGAGGTGCAGCAAAGAACTTTCTTCGAAATGCTCTGAACTATATGTGTACCTCCTCATTATTTTAAATTTTCGCTTTTAAGTTGTATGGTCAACTATGTCGTTCCTACACAGTGTTAACTGTGATATTCATCGATTGCATGGTTTAGATTCCGTATAAACGTCCACTGAGATATATGAGTGGGATGAGTTATCTGATTCAATGAGAGAATTACTAATACAAATTTAAGGACTTCTTTTTGGACTAAATTAATCACCTTTGTAAATTTCCAGTTTTTTATAACAGCTGAAAACGTAACTGATTTGTCTGATCACAGTAAATCACCTCCAAGAAATCTTTACTCAAGCCCACTTCAATTTGATCGTCTCACTAGAAGTTATGTGGACTGGGCATACTTCTGGGAGTCACATTATTCCATTGTGTTCTCAAATCTACCACGTTTTCTTGAGGACAGTGCTTCCAAGATACTGGATACAGGAAAGTATCTGAACGTTGTGCAGCTATGTGGTAAGTCTTCTACTTCATATAACTTTTATTTAGGTGCACCGAAGACACGAATGTAGATTTTTTTAAGGTGGTATTCATTGTCACTGCTTAGGAATTCTAATACCCCTTTATATCTAAAATTCAATTTATACATAAAGAATATAAGCAATGTGTTTTCCTAATTCTCAATAATTACATCATAAAACTTCATCTACCAAACTACTTGAATATATAAATCCCAACGAGGGAGTTGCGAAGCACTAACAAGGATTAATGGAGCAAACCTAACCTGTACTCACCTTTCAGTGTTTTAAAATTAATATTTTCAGCCACATGTAGATTTATCTATTAACTATTACTTTATAAGATTAATCTCCCTTTAATTCACACAGAACTTCACAAAAAGGTAGAAAGAATATTGGCAATTGTGACCAAAACTAGAGTAAGATTGAGTAACGAGCATCCACAGTGTTACAACATATATAAGTAATATTCAGAACCCCACGTAAAACGCTTAATAAGGTGGAAAATGAGGAGCAACTTTGTAGGCTGGAGGATTCCAGTGTATTCTAGTTTACCGAATACTTCGCAACAACTGTGAGGTTAAACTCCTTGTTAAGACCATTAGTTCGCCGTCAGTTAGATTCTCAGAACATGAGTTTAGTTAAGCACGCAAAAGAACTCAGCCACTACAACTCATGCATATACATGCAGTCACATAATAGAGCGAAACAGGGCTACAATTTTGAAAAGTAATTAACGTAAGTCTATAGCTTGGGCATTGTGGTAGAATGTAATACCACCTTAGATAAGTGTATTTTAAATATCACACAGTGATACGTTATTAATGATTGGATGAAGTTTCGAGCACAAATTATTGCTATTAACCGTACCAGTATAGTCACACGGTTTCACAATTTCTCTTATATATATATTCTGTCCTCTCTTTCTCTCCAACTTTCGCATGTCGTTTGTTGCCACTTTCCACATCTCTGATGTAGGCGTTGCATCATTCCGACACCACTGACTCCATTATGAATGAAATCCAAAAATTTACTAGTGATCTAGTACGCCGTATGAAATCGTCTTTGGGTGATTCGAAATAGTCCAATCTTGTACCTAAAAGTAATAGTCGCAGTGGAATATATGGGACTATAAAAATTCATAAAACGGGATACCCCATCAAGCCAATAGTTGTTTTTAGGAACACCCCGACATACAAGTTATTTAAATATTAAGCATTAACATTATGGCCTATATATATAGGTCAAATTCTAGGCTACCTAACCCCTATAAGATTTCATTTTTGATTAAACCACAGTGTTATACAGTAATATTAATTGATGTTTCCAGTACAAACTATTGCTCATAGTCATATCAAGTCACTCACACAACAACAAGTAGTATAGCTAGTTGGAGAGAGAGAGAGAGAGAGAGAGAGACAGGTTAATCACTGAATCTTTGTTTATCGATTCAACATCACACACATGCAATCGGAATGACGCAACGCATATACCGGAGATATGGGAAGTGGCAACAAACACCAAGGGGAAGTTGGAGAGAGAAAAGGTGAGAAAGTATAGATAAAAGAAATTCAGCGAATTATTATTTAACACATGGAATATAAATAATTCGACACAAAGACGTCATCCAGTTATTAATACTGTATCATTGTGTTGTCATGTATGGAATTACATTCTATCATAGTGCCCAAGTTCTACACTTACATTATTTTCCGGGATTTATTGAATCAGTCGATTTTATTTGTTCTTGCAGCCACTGAGGAAAGTTTTCTCTAGTCCTGACCTTCAAAATGGCATATGAGTGGGATACATCGATTGCACTGCCGTAGTTGTATTGACATTTTTCCTTAATCCCAATTGTTATATGGTGTTTGTTTATGAAAAATTCCTGTATGTTAAGAATTCAGAACACAAGTCATCTTTATGTGTATATTATTATCTTTTCTAATATTCCGTAATAACACTTAGTTTTATAATTTTTGTACTTTTGCTTTCCTGACTGAAACTTGTCTTTTTGGTGTACAAATGTTCGTTATGCTACTTTATGTGCCTAGTTAACTTTTGAATCACTAATATACTAGTAAGATTGGATGGTTAAATTGATTTTCTGTCGTGATTCATTACTATTTCAACACCCTAAATTTTCGTATTAGATGGTTAGGAAACCTAGTAAGTACTGTGTTGTTGAGTACTAATGTTTGATTACCGCCAAACGAAACAACTTAGTGTACTTTTTTTGCTAATGTACACAGTAGGTGCACTTTGTGTGTTCTTTAGTATGTTTACATTTTAATGAATTTATTGGCTGTACTGAAATTTAGCTTTTTCTTTCAAATTGTTGTAGAATTTCTGTAAGTTTAAGTGTTATTGCTTTAGTGGGTAAACTGTAAGTACTGCACGGAACAATTTATAAGTGTTACTGGCGTTGTTTCAAATATTTGATGACAGTAGGGACAGTCCATTAAAGTATTTGAAGATTTGTGTGTTCTATTTGAGTTTATATTTTAATTATCAGTGTCAAAAAGATTCGTTCTTGTCCATAATTTTGTACTAAGATAGGTGAATTAGATTAAGTTCGATTTCACTTAAACCGTTCCACACAGTGCTCAGACATAACATATCTCTTTGCTGTTATGTTCTTTATGTTTCTTTACTCATATCTGTCTGGACTTTAAGTCTTCTCAATATAAAATATAAAAAAATGTTGTGTCTTTGTTAACTACTATGATCTGCGTTTTACTCATAACTTTCTAGGTGATCATTATGAACTTCCTGTTTGTGAGGCTATTGCTTATAATGAAGAGCATTCAATATTCCTGGATAAAATTAACAAAGCCTATTCGTATGCTAGCCGTTTATTGTTGGATTTGATGCTGAAGCAGAAAGACTTGAAACAACACCTCAAGTAATGTGTTGTCATATCTTTATGCTTAATAAGTGGTGAAATGATACTCTTATTTTTTTAAGAAAAGAATAACAGTGAATTCATTGGTGGTAGTACATAGTGATAATATGCATGAGATATCTCATAGGTGTTTTTATTAGTGACTAAATGTTTAGAGGAGTTGAATAATTGAACAATTTTTTTGTTTTTGTTTATCACGAACCATTATCAATCAATAAGCACTTTAAAATGTAGGACAAACTACGAAATTTTTTCTTGAATTCTGTCTACTTAACTTTATTTACATTTAAGCCTTCCTGGATTTGGCCCAAATGGTGTCATAATCCTAACACAACATAACCATGGTCAGAGTTTTTTTATTTTTTATTTACAGCTTGATTCCATACTATACAAGTATGGAATTTTCAGCATGGATATCAGTAGCCCGAATTTTGCAGGCCGATCGTAGATATCAGGTGTGCGTCGGCAGGGGATCGAACCTCGGACCATGTGCATGGTAGGCGAGAGTCCTAACCACTGTGCCACCGACGCACCAGAGCGTAGTATTTATAATAGTAATTTTCGAATGTGGCCAAGTGTTTGCATGCTTGTACTTACAAGTCACTCACTCCTCGTGAGATTCAATTACATATTTCTGTTATGGTAAAGAAAAATGTATGTCTCGTTGTAAGCTTGACAGACAAATAAGATTTTAGTTCTGTTGAAATGGCTTTTGCCAGTTCTTATCACTTGTTTTAAATAAAACCATTTAGATGACTATAGGTGTAATCCTGGTTCTTTTTTTTTTTGAAGGAAGATTGTGCAATCTGCTGTTTTTACCAGCATCTTGATAAGATCAGAAGTGAATAAAGAAGCGTTCAGCGATGAGTTGCTCTTTACAGCGACGTAATTTCGCAGATACATAATTACAAACTTACAATACATTATCATAGCAACAAATAGAGTATTTACGAGTTGATCACGGATTGACATCAGTTAGATAACCATTGAAAACCAGCGAGTACTGGACAGCTGCTGTTTCATCCTAGTTTGGGAATCATCGGCAGTACCCACCCACAGGGATTCGAACCCAGGACCTTCCGGTTGCAAGGCAAGCTGGCATACAATTCAGCCACTGGGACCCGATTCAATGGCTCACGAATTCCAGCTTCTACCGATTCGTGATTTAGCGCGACCCCAACCATTGTCGTTGGTGGGACATCCATCCACACACATGACATCTAATTGGACCTCACTGATCACGACTTCTCACTAGAACTCAGGAAACTCCAACCTGCAGCAAGTCACTAGCGAGCATCAGACTAATTTTCTATAGTTTGGTTTGTAAGGGTTAGTTATGCTTTTCTTGGGGGTGGGGGGTCGCGCTAAATCACGAATTGTTAGAAGTTGGAATTCATGAGCCATTGAATCGAGTCCCAGTGGGTGGGTACTGCCGATGATTCCCAAACTAGCATGAAAGAGCAGCTGTCCAGTGCTCCCTAGTTCTCAATGGTTCTCTAACTGATATCAATCCGTGATCAACTTGTCAAAACATAACTAACCCTTACAAACCAAACTATAGAAAATAGAGTATTTGCAAAACTTTTGAATTCCAGATAACGACTAAGAGGTTCTAGGGAGAGTTATGTAATACAGAGATATTAATTAGATAGTGACTAGGGTGAAATTCCGTGAGGAAGTTGAGTAATGCAACATATTTGACAGGATTGATCAGTGTTCAATTAAATTTGAACGAATATTGAGTCAGTATCAGTGTTGTAGAATGATATCTCTAAGAAGAGTAACTTTTTTCACTGAACGCCTTTTTTATGATTAAACGGGGATTTTCACTACCAGAAATATCGAGTAAAAGTAGTTCCCTATGTTTTCAATATTTTTCGCATTTCTTTTTCTAGGAGAAAAGAGTCTAGTTATTCTAATTATACTTAGCGTTTACCAATGAACACATAACATGTATTTCTTTTTTAGATCTGTCAAACGTTTTTTTCTGATGGATCAAGGAGATTTCGTTGTCCACTTTATGGATGCTGCTGAAGGAGAACTACGCAAATCCAGCGAAGGTGAGCTAGGCTGTAAATGCTTATTCAAATAATACTGGTAAACCTTAACGAAAATGCGAAGTTGTATTGTATAACAAACATAATTTTTCTATTTGTTAAATAAAATGCCTTTTTTTTGTTTTCTTCTCACAGCTATTTCCGAGTCACGCCTTGGCTCGCTTTTAGAGTTGGCGGTTAGAATTAGTTCAGCAACTGCTGATCCATTCAAAGACAATTTAAAGTATGTATAAATTATTGCTCTGCAATTTTTTTTCCCGTAGTAATTTACTTTGGAGCTTTTGTTTTACTAATATTATCACTGAAATTGTGTTTAGATTTTCTCCTACAACACGTGTGGTCTCAGCTGCTTACTTCTATGAAATAATTTTTGCTTTAAATTAACTTTTAGAGTTGTGGTATTTCGATATGATCTGATCACTCAGATTTTCATGGTTTTACGCGCTGGATCCAAAGAGGAACAAGGTAATTCATTATTTCATACTTCTTCACTATTTTTTGATAAACAACCGGTTTTTAAAAAAAATTTTGTATTACAATATTGTATACTACGGTTATGACCATATTGTTACTCTCCCGACCCCTTGTTAATGATTAAATAATAGTTGTCATAAGTAAAACATCTTTTCGGTTTTTAATTACCATTTTAAGACTTCATTTCTACATCAGAATATATATATATATATATATATATATATATATATATATATATATATATATATATATATTTCTGAAAGGTTAGACAAGTTTCTGCATTGAATATTTGATGTTGTTTGACATATCTTCCTTCCTATGGAAACAGCAGACTTTATACGTGAAGAACTTATTAGACGAAACATTGATTTTGACATGCCGGTATCATTTATAAAAGGGCTTTTGGTATGTACAATGAATGCTCAATTTTTTTGCGTAATAAAGAATTATGGAGACACATTGATAGTATGGCGCTCGGGTCATCATAAGGACCAATTCTAGCTGAGATTTTCCTTGCAAAAGTAAAGAATGGGCCTTTGAAACATATAATTGATGAACTAGAATTCTACCGTTGTTAAATGGATGACATTTGATTATGACCACAGCCAACGCCTACGGGTTGATCTCTGACCAAATCTCATCACGGATACAGAGGGCTAGTTCCGCATATACCAGTTTACGCCGTCTCTGGCGTAGACGTGAAATCCGGCTGGCTATCGACCAAAGGGCGAGTGTACTGCTCATCAGTCCACTCCGTCCTCCTTTATGGCTGTGAGACCTGGCCATTGAGAGTGGAAGACATGAAAAGATTAGCTGTCTTCGATCATAGGCGCCTGCGCTCTATCTCCTATGTGAAGTGGAATAATAAGGTGAGCAATATCGAGGTTAGGCGTCGGCGGAGTGCTAGGTAAGGAGGGGAAATCAATCAACGAGGCTGTGAAATTACATCGACTGAGATGGGTAGGACATGTGTTATGTATGCCTAGTCATCGCCTCCCTCGACTGACGGGAAATGTTAGCTGACACAGGGTCAGGCTGGAAAAGAGCTAGTGGTGGTCAAACCAAAACATGGCACCAGTCGATGAAATCTTACGGACGTAGGAAACAGCTGGCGGTAAAACCATCACGTCCCCACCTCAATCAGGAAACTAAATCCGTATTTGAGGAAGAACTAGCTAAACACATATGTGTGTTCGACAGCTGTGCTCACCCTGAAGAAGATTGGAAGAATATCCAGGCAGCCATAAATACAGCTGTAAAAGCTGTCAATAAGATAAACCCAAAGGTGGGTAAGAACCACTGGATGTCCACCGCCTCATCCGAACTGATGGATGCCAGAAGACTTATTCCGGCGAGCTCCGAATTCAATGAGGAGCGAAAGCTGCACAAGAGGAAACTTACGAAAAGTCTCCGCAAGGACCGTGAACAGTGGTGGGCGACAAAAGCGAAAGAGATGGAAAAGGCATCGGCGATTGGCAACACCAGACAACTATTTAGGCTTCTCAGGGAAACAGGTGGTAAAAGGCAAATGATAAGTGAGACAATCTCTGAGAAAAATGGCACAGTAATTAGCTCCCAGGATAGACGACTGGAAAGAACACTTCGAGGAGCAACTTAGCTGGCCTACAGCCACGCTCAACCTGCCGAACATCCAACACCTCCCTGAATTGAAAACATTTATTTCCCGATACGAATTTAAAACAAGCAATAAAGGTTAATAAAGCAGGATTTAATCCCTGAATGGGATATAGACACAGGTCCTCCGTCCCCAACCCTAACTGAGGTTACTAAAGCTGTCACCAATATGAAACTAGACAAAGCAGCGGGACCTGATGGAATCACTCCAGAGGTATTTAAGTACGGTGGAGACAGTTTACTGTTTGTATTAACTGAGGTACTAGGCAGCGTCTGGGAATCAGAAGAAGTCCCATCGGGTTGGTGTAAGTCACTGACTATCCCCACATACAAGAAGGGAGACAAGTCTTCCTGTGATAATCACAGAGGGATTAGCTTGACTAATATAGTATCTGAAGCCCTAGGCTCAATAATATTGCGTAGATTAAGTGGTACTGGGGAGGCACAAACACGAGAGAGCCAGGTAGGCTTTAGACCAGGAAGAGGGTGTATTGATCATATCTTCACCGTCCGACAGATTCTAGAACATAGTCATTCCTACCGGCGTCCAACAGTCATTATATTTCTTGACCTAAAGGCAGCATTCGACTCTGTCGATCGAGAGGTTCTCTGGAGATGCTTGGCTGTAAAGGGAATCCCGAGAAAATATATTGCACTGATTAAGGCACCCTACTCGTACTCATACAGCCAGGTGAGGGCTTACGGCGAGTTGTCATCTGAACTGGTGACGACTAGTGGTGTCCGTCAAGGATACCCATTATCCCCTTTTCTATTCAACTTCATCATAGATGTGTTAATGGACTTAACCCTAAGTGACTTCAGCGACTCAGGGATTGACTTGCTACCAGGGAATAATCTCGTTGACTTAGAATATGCAGACGATATAGTCCTTCTAGGCGAAGACGCTGACGAAATGCAGAGTCTTCTAAACACCTTGAGCCGCAATCTACGAATGTTTGGCATGCGATTCGCTCCCGCCAAATGCAAGATGATGTTACAGGACTGGACTACATCGACGCCTAGTTTAAAAATAGGAAGTGAAGTGGTAGAGCACGTTAACCGCTTCACTTATTTGGGAAGTACCATCAGCCCCAACGGGTTGATCTCTGACGAAATCTCAGCACGAATACAGGGGGCTTGTTTCGCATATTCCAGTTTACGCCGACTCTGGCGTAGACGAGATGTTCGACTATCGACCAAAGGGCGGGTGTACTGCTCATCAGTCCGCTCCGTCCTCCTTTATGGTTGTGAGACCTGGCCACTGAGAGTGGAAGACATGAAAAGACTAGCTGTCTTTGATCATAGGTGCCTGCGCTCTATTTCCCGTGTAAAGTGGCATAATAAGGTGAGCAACATTGAAGTTAGGCGTCGAGTTCTAGGTAAACAGGGGAAATCAATCGACAAAGTCGTGAAGTTACAAAGACTGAGATGGTTAGGACATGTGTTACGTATGCCAAGCCATCGCCTCCCTCGACGAGCAATGTTAGCGGATATAGGGTCAGGCTGGAAAAAAGCTAGCGGCGGTCAAACAAAAACTTGGCACCAGTCAATGAAATCCACAACAGTTGGTCTAAGCCATGTAGGAAGGTGTAGACTTCCAGGCTGGGGTCCTCGGGACGGTAAAAATCTATGGTTGGAAACAATTGGTGACATGGCTCAAAATCGTTCTCAGTGGCGCAGATGCATCCACTCCTTGTGACTTATGATCTCCAATGAAACTGTTTTGTTCTTCGTTATTACCCCTTTGTCTCACACCCCTGCTCACTGTCTCTATTATGCTTTTCTTGTACTTTCTTCTCTTGCTTCGCGTGCTACACGGAGTGTGGCGACTTGAACTTCCGCACATTTGTGCAAAGTTCTGTGTCGAAAACAGACAGACAGAGACATACCATTGTCATTGCTTTATGAAATAGACCGTAGGTCATCATTTGTAAAGTAGGTATTTACGACTTCAACCAACTGATTTGTTCCCATCGCACCTGAACATTCCTTATCCATACTGTAGTTGACCCCACAAGAATTATATTTTAGGAAGATTAGATGGCTGCATTGTTCTTGGTGATTGCTCAATGCTTTTTTTTCTTTAATCCGTAGTTTTGATTTAATAGCAATTGATTATTAATCCATTCTATTTAATTAATTAAATGTTATTCAATTTTAGGCATTTATGTTGAAGACAAAAATCTTTCTGGATTTGAATCGTTTTCTTTGGATTATAAAGTTGATTGGCCAGTTGATCTTGTTCTAAATCGTCAAGTTATGGATCGTTATCAAATGCTTTTCCGGCATCTGCTTTATTGTAAACATGTTGAAAGATCATTGTGCAAGTAAGAATTCTTCGTGTTCTATTTGGAATCTGAACAATTAAACGCTTATTGATATATATGAGAGAATGCACCACTGACCTGCTTAATATAAACTTGTGTCTCTTAATTTTAAATGGAAGCTTTGTATCAGCATTTCATCTTACCAACCAACTCGAACCTTCCAACTTCTGAAGGTTTCTGAATAATTTTTTTAGCACAGTGGACAATGTGTGCTTTATTGCTTTACAACAGTTATGAATATAACGTATATATAAACGTTTTAAAAGTAGTAGTGTGTGAGTGGTTATTATTCACCGGTTATCCATACGGTGAAAGCTGATTCCTCCTTGAAATACACGGAACAAAAAGTATTAGTGCTACGTAACTACAGAGCTCAGGAAACAACTGCTTGAGACCGGTCACATACGACCTATTTGGAGGGATTCTTGGAATTGTATCCTTATGAGGATTTTACTGTCAGCTATGGGTTAAAGCAAGAAAGATCCGAGTCAACAGTTTTCAGGGTCCTCCTTCCCTACAGTGGAGAGGCAGTATAGCTAGCCTGTGGTCATCTGAGGGAAACCTTACTTCTGTCGCGGTCCTGTTTGCCACTAGGACGACTTTCCTCTTAGAACCCCTTCCCCCCCTCCCCAACACTGTGTGAAGGACTTGTACTTTGATGGTAATTGCGTTTAATCTAACCGCTAACCAAACAACCTTTCTGGCATGGTAGGATCTGCATAGCCAGTGTAGCTCATTGGGTCATGCAAGGCCGACAAAATACGTCAGTGTTACAGCTATCTGTTGGGTGTTCTAAAAGTGTGTCCATTAATTTCATCAGTTTAAGTTTTTATTCTTCCCTAATTCTTCATATTTGTTTGCTTAAAAGTTGAAAACTGGACAGAATGTCGCATACAACATTCAGTCACCAGAAAGCTGAAATATGTTTTTTCCTTCAATAAGATAAAATGTACTCCTGATTTGAAGTTTGATGTTTGAAAAGGTGAACACCTTAAACATCAAGAATTGTTTCCGGTTTTTGAACACCTTTTCGTTCGATAAATATAGTGGGGATAATTCCATATTAGATATTAATGTATAAATATCTTTGGTCCAATAAACTTATTCAATACGCTCAACTTCCACTCTTATAATAATAGTAAAGGATAATAAATCGGTTTCTGTGTCAGCGCTAGTGGTTCCATGTTATAGATGCAAACTCTAACCACCAATATCTACTCTCACTTACATCTTTTGCGTCGGTGGCACAGTTGTTAGGACTCTCGCCGATCATGCACATGGTCCGGCGTTCGATCCCCTGCCGACGCACACCCGATATCTATGGTCGGCCTGCAAAATTTGGGCTACCGATATCACATGATGAAAATTCCATACTTGTACCGAAAATACGGTGTGGCATCAAGCTGTAATCAAAAATAAAATAAAAATCTTTGTCAAACGAAAATAAACCAGAGAATGTAACCAAACATATTTATGAGCGATAATTTTTAAGAATAGTGAAATCCAGTGAAGTGGTTTAGAGAACAACTAATTTGTACGAATAATAAAATTTGTTTCGCGATTCCTGAGACAATTCGAATTTTAAGAAAAAATTTGATTCCGTAGATTCTTCTTCTACAGGCGTAAAACTTCGTATTCACATACCACTACTTGTGTAGGGATTTCAGCTCAAATGTTTATTTTGATCAGTTATCTAATTATTCTTTCTGAAGTACTTCCACTAATAATTGAGAACTTAGCAGTAGAAACGGCATTCGTATATATTTCATTCGTATAAATCATCATGAGTCACCCATTTTGAAAAAATGCCCTTTGTTGCACTTTTTAGATTATAAAGTTGACTTTGTTTGTTTATTTTTTAGCTCTTGGATCCTCGGTAAACTTGCTCGTAAATCGGATAATCTAATGACAACGTCGTTTACAGTAGCTTTTATCTTAGCTCAAAGAATGCTTACATTTATTCAACATTTTCAATATTACATGACAGCTGAAATTATTGAACCAGCTTGGCATACTTTCTTCATGCGTTTAGATAAGGTACGTTGAGATCTATGATTAAAAAATTGGTTTGTTATGTAAATCTCTATGTAAATTTGTCAGTATGGGTTGATGTAGGAAAATATACTGAAGTCGTTATCAAGTATTTCCATATGAACCCTTGTAATCTTTACTTGTACACGTTCATAGGTTGAAAACAGTTTATTCCTCGGGTATGCTAAATGTTTGATTTTCAATCTAAGTGAAATGCTTCAGTACAAAAAGTAAAACAAGCTATTTTCTATTGAGTTGACTATTCACTAATCATGTTACATTAAAGATCAATTAATTTACACACCTATATAGGTTTTGACACTTAGGGCTAAATTTTGATTTTTGTTCGATTATCCCAAAATTCGTCTTGTAGAAAATCTGTTATCAGTAAAGTTCATTAATTCGGCAGAATGATACCCGATAGGGATCATATGTATCTCAGAGTTTTTAAAAAAATATTCGGTTATACTATTGTCTGCTTGAACATATCTCGGTCAGAACATAACAGTCGATTGTCTACTCGATTTGCGGTCTTCATTTCAAATACATCTTACTAAGTTTTCCATTTCTTGTAAAGAAAATGTAATCAACCCCTTGTAGAGCGAACATTCTTGCGATCGATCTACTCTGACTTTCTAAAATACGTACAATAGTTGCCCGTAGACAAACCATCCATGAAACACTCATACACCTGAAATATGGATGATGTGTCAAGCAAAGACTAATACCGTATATATATATATATATATATATATATATATATATATAAATATATATACGGTATGTCGTCCCCTTCATAATAAGATGGTTGAAATGCTAAATATTGATTTCAACTAAAGTAGTTCTGTTAGTTAACTAAGCGCAACCAGTTGTAGATGAATTCAGTTTTAACAATACGAAATAAGAATGTGACGGTGAAATTAAATCTAACTGTTTGTGTTAAATGTTTTCAGCTACGAATATCCATCTGGTGTATATTATGTAAAATACACTTTCATACAATGTACTCCCAGTAATGACAAAATAATTTCTTGATTCGTACATATCATTCACGAATGTAAGGATAGTTTCAACAAATTTTAAATGGATCTTTTCAGCTGATTCGGAAAATGCATTATTTCATAATTTCGAAGTGCTTTACTTGACAATTAATGTGTTTCTTATTTCAATGTAACTTCAATTATTTTCTCTAACAGGTATCAAATTTGGATAAACTTTTAGAATCACATCTACATTTTCTGGAAGTATGTTTAGATGACTGTCTAATGGCGAATCCCAGACTTCTGAGTTTAGTCGGGAAATTATCAGTGTCATGTGTAACATTTTCAAATTTTATTCAGCATTTAGCTTTTTCAATAACTGGAATTAATTTATCATCAGATAATGATCGTCATGATGCCAACTTCATACCACGTTCTACTGATTTGGGAAGAACATTCCTTCACGATCCCACACCGTCAACAGTTTTTGGCAGAGCAACAAACGAATGTAGAAATGCACTTTATGGATCCCTGAACGGTTCAATGGAATCATTAGCAAAAGTAAGAAGTTAATTATCCTAGTGATTAATAATTAATACTTTTTGTGTTTCTTTTAAAACGGTCATTAATAGATTCTTTACCGACACTTACTTCTATGATGTGGTGGTAGTCGAACTGCTTTATCTCACTAATCCAGCGAAGTGTTTAGTAAGGTCATAGGCCTATTTGTTTCCAACTCTCCCTCGATTGACATAGACCGTCGCTACATGAAACGATATGATGGCCAGAAACAGGTGGTTATTCGAACAGAATTGTAGTAAATGTAAAAGCTGCTGCCGCTGTTGGGACTTTTTTCACCCGTCTTGTTGAATTTATGAAGCAGTGTAAAAGTTGTTGTAATCGCGATAATACTGGATTTTGGTTCGTTATTACCGATCACTTAGACACTATTCCATCATTGGAAAGAAAACAGAAGACGGCTGGAGACAGCCCTCACCTTACGAAAAGCTCCACCACGAAACATCTGACTCTACCTGTAGTGCACAGTGAAATTTCCGGATTAACAGATAAGTAATTATTTAAGAGTAATACGCATTCAAACTTCATATCGGATACGGTGTCACCGTCCATCTATGCTATTTAGGCAATTCAGTAAAATTTCACCCACTATTGGAATGGAAAAGATATCTGTTTCAGCTTATGGATTTATAGGTCGCCCGCTCTGTACACTGGGAAAAGTTGATGTTAGTAAATAAAAGCTCAATTTGGCAAACGGTCGCCTTTCTTTCTACGAATAGTTGGTTCTTACTAATATGAAGAAATTAAATTCATCCATATCCCTGACGACATCTTTAATTCCAGATGATCGAAAGCGATCAACAAGAGACTGACGTTAAAGGTTTGATTGCTTTATGCTTCATCCCCAAGGAGGGATGATATTGGAGAGTGCATTTGTATTCCTGAAAAGAATAATTCCATATTGACCAACGGAACCTGTTCGATAAGCTATGAACAAACTGAAACACGATGGTTATCATTCAACAAGTTAGTAACTCATTCTGGGCAACTACTATAGTGACAGTACTAAAAATGAATGGAACAAAACCAAGTATTTGCGGTTATTTGATGATCAATGTTAATCCTAGGTTGCATGTATGTCGTATGACAATAGAAGAACCAGGAGACTTGTACAACTAATTACTAAGTGATGTAATTTTATATAAGAGTTATCTTTCTAATGCTCTTGTTCAGATGCCCATACATGAAGCGTCTGAATCTCTAACCACCACCAACCACAACAACAACAGCGTGATTATTTCAGCGTAACCTCTTCCACTTCTTTGTAAATGTTTCTTCTGATATATTTTAAGCTGCTGTAGATGAGGTGATGACATATCTCCAAGGCGCAAATGCGTAACAGGGTAACGCTACTGTATTTCGTAATGGTGTGCGTAAGCATAATATCATGTTACTTGCGCTACTTAGATTTCGGTATAGGAAATCTCTATCTGAAGTCAAGGAATTACCATATTCAGGATTTCTGCAATTATTGTGGGCTACAGTCCTAACCCTGAGCACTTTGAAGCCATATCTAAAGCTTCTCAACCCCAAAATCACCAACAGTTGCGGTCGGTAGGCTTAATTAATTACAAATGCTTCCTTACTAGGAATTCGTCTAGTCCTGGAACAAAATGATCGCCCCGTCATCTGCATTTCGAAAAAACCAAACAAGGATAATCTCAAACACAAAAGGAGGCTTCAGTCGTTGTTTGGCAGTAATAAGATTGCATAAATGTGCACATGAGTCTAAGTTTACTATAGTTAGTGATCACCAAGCATTACAGTTTCCATTCAATACAAATAAAACTGTCGCAAAGTATGCTGCAGCCATGTCAAAAAGGTGAAGTCCAAGTCTTATCGCGTGCGGCTGTGATGTCTAATATCAAGCTAGTAAAAGCAAACTTTTGTCTAGGTTCGCGAGATTTCAAAATAGTAATAAAGATGTCAATAACTATTCGTTGTTCACCCATCCATTGCCTGTATGATGTTCAAACATGATTAGAGAAAGGAAGAAATATTAAGAACTTTTACAAAGGGCTTTAAGCGATCTCCTGAAATTTATCAAAGACGAGATGATTTGTCGAAACCTTCGGTGGGCTACTTTGAATAAGTGGTCAGAGAGTAATACCGACAACCTTACGCAAACAAGTTCTGGATAATTTGCATTAAAGGACATTTGGGGCATAGGGAAGATGAGGTCACCAGCGTAATTGATGTGCTGGTAGCTGACGAGAAATTATAGTATACGTTCCATATAAGTTAACTGTTCTAAGTGTATCGTGTCAATCGAATGTTGATGTAGAAGAATATCATACTTCAGTAATTCTTCACAGTTTCCAGTGTAACTTGTTATGTTTTATAAACACTGTGACTACAAGTTTAAAAATGTGATTGTTTGTTTCTGTCTTAATTTGAGGTCACTAGGGAAGAATTCGGTAGGATGAGCTTATCGGATGATTTAGCTCAGACAATTGCCAACTTTGATATGAATTTCAATCGACATTTAGTTGAACTTCTTAAAGAAATCGCAATATATACACATTCCCAAAGCAAGCTGTCAGGTTTAATATCAAGGTTAGTTATCTCCTTATGCCTTTATTGCTGCACCCACTCAATATATATATATATATATATATATATATATATATATATATAGTTTTTTTGTTAATTGCCATATTTTTACACACCGAGCTTCTGTTCTTTGCTGTTGGTTATTATGACCAAAGTATTGTAGATAATATCATCACTTTCCATTGGTCCAAGTAACTGGAAAGAACACTAAAAATCATCCTTAAAACCTACATTTGTAGAATACCTCAAGACAAAAGAAGGCATAAATATAAATAAACTAAATACCGATTTTCAGTCGTATCATTTAGATAATAATAATAATCACTTTATTCCAAACAATAATAATTATATGGTATGGAATTTTAAGGTATATTCTTGTGTTCACACAGATCCTGCACAAGCAATTTACAATTACTCAGACAGCTCAAGCTAACATTAGAATTACTAACAGATAAAGTGAACATTCGATGAAATGTGAAGTGTTCAAATTAGCGAGGTTTATTTATTGATTGGGTTATATAGCTGAATCCCTACTAGAATATAAACAGAACCAACTCTGTCAACGATATTTCCTTATGCAAAAATTACTCGCTTTTTAGGTGAAATTAAGTAACCGTGTTGTTCAAGTACTTTTAGCTACTAAAGTTTACCTTGTGCTGTAACCACTTGAATCCCTGTAATTATTATGGTATATAGAATAAGTATGTCTTCAATTGTGTCTTCTGGTATATCGGAGATATTTGACTAGGGTACATGACCGAATGTATTTTTACGGGGAACTCGACTGGGTCGTTTAGAAACCATTTGTTTGTCATATTTTATATTATCGTATTGACTAAGAGTTTATGGCTGTCATCTTAATTTTTGTAGACTTGATTTTAATGAGTACTACACCAACTACAGGCTGCAACAAGAAAGGAAAGAATCGAACGGTTTTTCGCGTGATCAACATGACAGTTCTTTTGCTGAACACAAACCAATGTCACAACTAAACACATCTGATGACGATGATTATATTTAACTCGGATTTTTTAGTGTTTTAAATATCTGTTTTTCTTCGAACTTTGGTTTCTGATGCCATTCTGTTTTATTAACTTTTTTGAAGTTTGTGTGAAAACTTATTTTTATACATTCACTTGCTTTGTACCCCTTTTTGAAAAGAAAGTCTTGTAACAATAAAACATATATATGTAAGAGAACTGCGTTTTTCAATGACCATCATGTAGTATTTTTATCATTTAACGATAATGAATATTGTGTACTTAGTCGCATACGCAATATTTATCATGAAACGTATGTGCTAACCATGCTTGGATAGCAAACTTTAAGTTAGGTAGGTAGTCAAGATGACACTACAAATCGGTATAGATATGAATCCGTTTCTGGCAGTATTTTGATTGAAGTATTAAATAAGAAGGTATCGCTTCTAACTAGTTCTGTAGCTTTATTTATTACCAACATGATCCAATATGAACAAATGGCGGTTAGACATGAGTAGCAGAAGCAAGTTGGTAGTTAAATTACATCGAGATTCATAATAGGTTATTTGGTACAGTACATGTGTTTCTCATAAATCTGCTTTCAAGAAGTCATCCGGTATGATTATCTGCTCTCCTGGTTTAAACGGTGGGAGTCCACGATACGGACATGTAGAACAGCGGAATGCATCTCCTAGATAACACTACAAAGTAAGTAAAAAGAGTTTTTAAATACCAACTGAACAGTAAATAAATAAAGAATTTTAAAATTATACTAAATTTTTGGACAAAATAACGATACTAATCATTTACGAGGAGAATAAAGCGGGCTTGTTTCATATGTGGTATATGCATATTAGATTCCTTTCTTTCTATTTAGATCGTACAATGGGTGTATGGAATTTTAAACCGTTCCCATTGTTTCACATAGATGTTTGGTTCGCCTGTCTGTCTATCTGTTTTCGACATAGAACTTTGCACCGATGTGCGGTAGTTCAGGTCGCCACACTCCATGTAGCACACAAATCAAGAGAAGAAGGTAGAAGAAATGCATAATAGAGACAGTAAACAGAGGTGTGAGACAAAGAAATAGTAATGACGAAGAACAATATAGTTTCATTGGAAATCATAAGTCACAAGGAGTGGATGCATCTGTACTGCCAGTGAGGACGATTTTGAGCTATATCACCAATTGTTTCCAACAGTTGGTTTTTACCGTCCAGGGGACTCTAGCCAGGAAGTCTACATCTTCCTACGTGGCCTAAACTAATTATTGTGGATTTCATTGACTGGTGCCATGTTTTGGTTTGATCGCCGCTAGCTCAGCTGACATTGCCCATCAGACAGGGAGGCGATGACTAAGCATACATAACACATGTCCTACCTATCTCAGTCGATGTAATTTCACAGCCTCGTCGATTGATTTCCCCTCCCTACCTAGCACTCGACCGACGCCTAACCTCAATATTGCTCACCTTATTATTCCACTTCACATAGGAGATAGAGCGCAGGCGCCTATGATCGAAGACAGCTAATCTTTTCATGTCTTCCACTCTCAATGGCCAGGTCTCACAGCCATAAAGGAGGACGGAGTGGACTGATGAGCAGTACACCCGCCCTTTGGTCGATAGTCGAACATCTCGTCTACGCCAGAGTTAGCGTAAACTGGAATATGCGAAACAAGCCCCCTGTATTCGTGCCGAGATTTCGTCAGAGATCAACCCGTTGGGGCTGATGGTACTTCCCAAATAAGTGAAGCGGTTAACGTGCTCTACCACTTCACTTCCTATTTTTAAACTAGGCGTCGATGTAGTCCAGTCCTGTAACATCATCTTGCATTTGGCGGGAGCGAATCGCATGCCAAACATTCGTAGATTGCGGCTCAAGGTGTTTAGAAGACTCTGCATTTCGTCAGCGTCTTCGCCTAGAAGGACTATATCGTCTGCATATTCTAAGTCAACGAGATTATTCCCTGGTAGCAAGTCAATCCCTGAGTCGCTGAAGTCACTTAGGGTTAAGTCCATTAACACATCTATGATGAAGTTGAATAGAAAAGGGGATAATGGGTATCCTTGACGGACACCACTAGTCGTCACCAGTTCAGATGACAACTCGCCGTAAGCCCTCACCTGGCTGTATGAGTACGAGTAGGGTGCCTTAATCAGTGCAATATATTTTCTCGGGATTCCCTTTACAGCCAAGCATCTCCAGAGAACCTCTCGATCGACAGAGTCGAATGCTGCCTTTAGCTCAAGAAATATAATGACTGTTGGACGCCGGTAGGAATGACTATGTTCTAGAATCTGTCGGACGGTGAAGATATGATCAATACACCCTCTTCCTGGTCTAAAGCCTACCTGGCTCTCTCGTGTTTGTGCCTCCCCAGTACCACTTAATCTACGCAATATTATTGAGCCTAGGGCTTCAGATACTATATTAGTCAAGCTAATCCCTCTGTGATTATCACAGGAAGACTTGTCTCCCTTCTTGTATGTGGGGATAGTCAGTGACTTACACCAACCCGATGGGACTTCTTCTGATTCCCAGACGCTGCCTAGTACCTCAGTTAATACAAACAGTAAACTGTCTCCACCGTACTTAAATACCTCTGGAGTGATTCCATCAGGTCCCGCTGCTTTGTCTAGTTTCATATTGGTGACAGCTTTAGTAACCTCAGTTAGGGTTGGGGACGGAGGACCTGTGTCTATATCCCATTCAGGGATTAAATCCTGCTTTATTAACCTTTATTGCTTGTTTTAAATTCGTATCGGGAAATAAATGTTTTCAATTCAGGGAGGTGTTGGATGTTCGGCAGGTTGAGCGTGGCTGTAGGCCAGCTAAGTTGCTCCTCGAAGTGTTCTTTCCAGTCGTCTATCCTGGGAGCTAATTACTGTGCCATTTTTCTCAGAGATTGTCTCACTTATCATTTGCCTTTTACCACCTGTTTCCCTGAGAAGCCTAAATAGTTGTCTGGTGTTGCCAATCGCCGATGCCTTTTCCATCTCTTTCGCTTTTGTCGCCCACCACTGTTCACGGTCCTTGCGGAGACTTTTCGTAAGTTTCCTCTTGTGCAGCTTTCGCTCCTCATTGAATTCGGAGCTCGCCGGAATAAGTCTTCTGGCATCCATCAGTTCGGATGAGGCGGTGGACATCCAGTGGTTCTTACCCACCTTTGGGTTTATCTTATTGACAGCTTTTACAGCTGTATTTATGGCTGCCTGGATATTCTTCCAATCTTCTTCAGGGTGAGCACAGCTGTCGAACACACATATGTGTTTAGCTAGTTCTTCCTCAAATACGGATTTAGTTTCCTGATTGAGGTGGGGACGTGATGGTTTTACCGCCAGCTGTTTCCTACGTCCGTAAGATTTCATCGACTGGTGCCATGTTTTGGTTTGACCACCACTAGCTCTTTTCCAGCCTGACCCTGTGTCAGCTAACATTTCCCGTCAGTCGAGGGAGGCGATGACTAGGCATACATAACACATGTCCTACCCATCTCAGTCGATGTAATTTCACAGCCTCGTTGATTGATTTCCCCTCCTTACCTAGCACTCCGCCGACGCCTAACCTCGATATTGCTCACCTTATTATTCCACTTCACATAGGAGATAGAGCGCAGGCGCCTATGATCGAAGACAGCTAATCTTTTCATGTCTTCCACTCTCAATGGCCAGGTCTCACAGCCATAAAGGAGGACGGAGTGGACTGATGAGCAGTACACTCGCCCTTTGGTCGATAGCCAGCCGGATTTCACGTCTACGCCAGAGACGGCGTAAACTGGTATATGCGGAACTAGCCCTCTGTATCCGTGATGAGATTTGGTCAGAGATCAACCCGTAGGCGTTGGCTGTGGTCATAATCAAATGTCATCCATTTAACAACGGTAGAATTCTAGTTCATCAATTATATGTTTCAAAGGGAGCTTGCCGGAATCAGTCTTCTTTCGTCAATCAGTTCGGATGAGGCGGTAAAGATCCAATGGCTCTTACTAAACTTTGGTTTTAGCTTATTAGCAGCTTTTACAGCTGTGTCTACAGCTAACTGTATGTTGTGGCAGGCAGGCTTCCTCAGGCGAAGTTCTGTTGTCAACCTCAAAAACTTGTTTCGCTATTTCCTCCTTAAATAGGGACTCTGTCTCTATCTAGTTGATGACGTAACTGTTTCGCTACCGTCAGTTTCTTATGTCCATTTAGTCGTAAGCTTAAAGGTGCGCGAACCAGAGTGTGATCAGTCTACGCATGTGTTGCAAAACGAGCGGCAGTCTTCTACTGACCCTCGCCAACGATACCCTATGGCTATGTGGTCTATCTGAGTCCAGTGTTGATTTGGTGATGGAGGTCGCCAGGTCACACAATGTCTCTCTTTGTGCCTAAAGTTAGTGCTGACTAGGAATAGATGATTACCTGAGCAAAACTGTAGAAGATGATCACCGTTGTCGGTTCGTCGGTAGGGAACTCCATACGTACCACGTACATACTTCTCAGTGTGGCACAACTTCCCTATTTCGGCATTGAAGTCGCCTTCTAAGACAACTATATCGGAAAGTTCTGCTTTTTGCAGCAAATTAGACAGTTTCAGGTAGAAGTCATCCTTTAGTTCATCTGAACTGCAGTCTGTTGGGGCGTAAGCGGAGACTACGAAAAGGCAATGACGGGTAGCACCGTCTTTCCTTCTTTTAACGGACCCATTCAGACGGACCGCAAACATACGACTATTAACTGGGATCCAGTCAAGAAGTGATTTTTCCACCCTAACACTCAGTGCTATCCCTACACCTGTGAGTCCTCGCGAGCTAGCTGAGGGGTCTCCTGACACCCTTAAAGTGAATTTTGAGGATTCACCTTGTTGACCTGGTGAGGTTAAATGAATGACCACACTCGGGTCTTGTATGCGTGTCTCCGAAACACAACATACATCCATGGCTCAAGATGCCAGAGTTCTAGCTAGTGATGCCTGTTGTCCTATTTGGCAGAGGGTCCTGACGTTATATACTCCTATATGAAGTTGGCGACGTGGCTTTAAAAGGCTATCTGAGGTGCTTCTATGGCTCTCATCGTTGTTTGTGGTCACAGAGAAGAGTGAAGATGACTCACTAATCGGAGGAATAGTTCTAACTGTAGTAGAGAAGCAAGGCGAGGATGGTGATGTGAGGTAAAGGGGAATGATCCTCAGGAAGGCTTCGTGTGCTTTTGGAAGAGTGTGGGCGGTTTTTAGTTCCCGGTTGCCCACACAGTGAGAGTTGATTGATTCTTCGAGTACCTGAAACAGAGTGTTGCATGAACACAAAGCCCAGGGGACAACTGCTTGAGGCCGGTCACACACGGCCTGTATGAAGTGGTTTCGGGGATCTGTTCCGTATTAGTAAACTTACCACCGGTTACGGACCACCGTAGGATAAGTCGGGATGCAAAATTTTTGGGGTCGACCTCTTCTAAACGCTTCTCTCCGGAGTGGAGAGACAGCATAGCTGGCATGCTGGTCATCTGAGGGAAACACCTCACTACTGTTACACCCCTGTTCCCCAGCAGTACGATTTCGCCCTCAGACCCCCAGCATAGTGTAAGAAAGACTCTTACACGATGCCGGTAACTGCTTTTAGTCTAATCGCTATCCTAACAACCTTCCTGGCATGGTAGGACCTGCAGGAACATCGGTTCCAGCCAGTGCAGCTTGTTGGGTCATCGCGATGTGCAAGCCCAAC